AGAGAGAGAGCGGGAGGGGAGGGGGAGAGGGAAAGAGTGGGAGAGAGAAAAAGTAGAAGGGAAGGTGTGTGTGTGTATGAGTGCGTGTGTGTATGTGTGTGTGTGTGTGTGTGTGTGTGTGTGTGTGTGTGTGTGTGTGTGTGTGTGTGTGCCCCCCCCCTCCCTAAAATAACTCAAATAACAACTACCTCCTCCCCCTCCCCAGAACTAACAACGCTTGTTCTGTATTGCATGTCAGCATTAAATACATTAGTCACTGTAAAACACTACTTTGTAGTTTCAGGCCCCATTCTTTGTTACCAATGTCGTTTTCTTTAGTCTCATAATAAACATGGAGCTTATTATCATTAATTTGAATCTGCGGACAGATCAACGTAATCAAAATTCACCCATCTAAAAATGGTGGTGTTATTAGAAGTTGTGACAGTATTTAACTGGCAATTACTCAGTCCTATTCTCAGAGCTCTATACTTTACTAGGGTTCACCTGCTCTGTATCATGAAGCAATATGCTATCTTTATGTCTTTAACTTGATTCCACAGCAATCTTTGACTTTTACTGTCAAATATTTTAAAACAAAAAAGAATGTAAGCATAAAATAGCAAAGACAGGTGAAACATTTCTATCAACTCTAGGAATATTGGACCACACAAAAGACAGGTAACCACGAAAGATGTCAAAATATAAAGCAAGAGGAAATATTGCAAGGTCTCAGAAAATGTTTTATTTTTGTGTTTGTAAACCATACATCAAGGTAACACAATTGGGGAAATGGAAACATGAAGCCAGCAGTGTGCATTGGCTGAGATAAAGATCTAAGCAGGTCAGCATTAAAATTTCATGAGTGTTTCTGTAACAGTTAAACAGGTTGACGAGGATACAAAGTCCCTCCAGAAGAACAAATATTCCTGACAAGAAGCCATTCATTACACAACAGAAAGGAAGTTACTGAAAAGAACGATGAAAGCAATTGTAGTTCCTGAAATGTTTGATTTCTTAATTTAAGTTGTACTCCAAATTTTGTATTTAATTTATATTATAAATGAACTACAGGCCTGTTGCTTTATTTAAGTAGTTGTTTTATAACTTGACTGACGCAATTTAGATATTTTAGGAGGCTTCAATCCTGCCTGCCAAGGCCAAATTGGGTAGAGGGGGATTTAATGTCACAGCAGAAAGAACGTAGTACTCGATAAAGACTCTCCTTACACGGGAATCAAACTATGGTCTTCAGCGTGGATGGGTGAAACACTTAACTGTAGCACCACAGACGCTGATGCCCTGCAGCTGAATCACAAAAAAAGACCTGCATAGCCTAAAAAAGTACCAAAAAATATGCTGGGGAAGAAACAACAAAATGGACAAACTAACAGAGTAAAAGATGATCCAGAAGCCAGCCGACAAACTAAAAACATACAGTCATACATAATGACGGGACAGCAAAAGAACAGTCATAAATAAATTGATAGATTCTATTATAATAATTTGAATAAATAACTGATACCGTATCTATCTTGATAGGATGATAAATATTATAATATGATGTACCCCCTTTAGATAAATTTGGCATGGTTTACAAAACAGTCAGCAAAAGAAACAATCTTGGAATTTGTGACCTAGGAATTCTGTGTTGCCAAGTGCATTTCTTTCTGATGTCTGTACTACCTGAGCTTCACTTTGTTCTGAGTTCAATGTCAAAGTATAGGACACTACACTGACCACACAGAAAGAGACTTAAAAGAATGTTAATACATTACTGTTTCATTTTGTTACATTCAAAACATGCCTCATGTAGGGAAGATTATTCTATCAAATACAGTAGTCTCCATTTATGATTCCCTGCTTATCATTACGGTTTCCTTAAAATCCTGCGGTTTTGAGAAAATATAATTTTTACTTCACAAAAGTCATCCCTAAGAACCCGCTACAAATGGTTTTATTAAATAAAATCCCCCCTTTCAGATAGAAAATTACAGAATGAACACCTGGGCACCTGCAGCTGATCAACCAAGCAGGCAAAATTTACAATCATTATACTGCCCTTGGGGCTGGCAGGTGCTCCGGTGTGGTTTTCTCCTTCTTTCCAATCAAACATTTATCGTCCTTGACTCTTCTTCTTTTCTATGTATGTTATTCTCTAGCAACACCTCTAATTTTCACCACTTATATGACCTAATTGTGTTGCATGAGCCAAAAAACTCTTACCAAAACTGACCTATTGAACTGCCTGTTGTGTCACAGATCATCTGCTCTGGGAATGTGATCACATCTACATTATGAATCTCTGAGTGGGTACAATGTTTGTCCAAGGTGGGATCACATCAATGTGTGAAGTCATTGACAGCTTTGTTTTCCCAAAAACATTGCACTCCCATTTGAGCCTACCACCTTAACTTACATCATACTGTGGGTCACCTAAGATTCTGCATATTCCTTGCTCCAAAGCAGCGGGATCATGGGCAGAGACTATTGTACTAAGTCTTTCTGCTGGGCACTTTCTCTATTGTCTCTCTCACTGGCCATGTCACATCACATAGCAAATGTTGGGTCGAGACTACTACATGTGTTGTTGGGTGCTCATCTGTGAAGTGTATAACTGAACCTCTAGCAGAAGAATATTTGATAAGAATGTGACTGATTGGTACACCTCACAAGAGACAAGTCTGAAGGAATGATATAACAATGGGCAGTGTGAGTCTTTAAGAAGGTGAAATAAACGGGATGTGAGAAACCTGTCGGTTAATAATCCTATAACCCAACAGAAATATCGGAACTCACGGTCTCACAAAACTGAAGAAGTCTGGAATAATAAAAGTCAGAGCCCACAGGTTGAGGCTAATACCTTTTATTCAAAGAAAGAAGAAGTCTAAGAGGCTTTAGATATAATATCTACTTCAGTTAAACGTCATAAAGTAATAAAAATAGTCTTGCTTTTTTCCTGAGGAAGTATACATCCTGCTAACAGGTGACCAAAACATCTTTCTTATTGAAAGAGAGCAGAACTTTTGTGAAAAAGACTCTTATGCGCACAATAAAGATTTAATATAATAAGATCATGTGCTCTAGATGTTACACTGCATGACACTGCTACTACTCACAAAGGGCCTGTGAAATTTAGCAAGGAACATTCTATATCAAAGCTTTGAAAATGGCAGTACAGAATCTATTCTATAGATTCAACACAAACAGTCAAGCAGCTGCTAAAATGTGTCAAAAAGCCGAGAACAAATGAATCTAAAAGGGCAGAACAGATCTTTTACTTAACTTTACTTTTTCATCCTCTGTTGCCGTTAAGCGTCGAGGGGCGATGCAGTTTTCTATGGCAGGCCAGCTCTCTTTCAGTTATGATATTATGTTTTCTCAGGGTTTCCTTGACATTCTCGATCCACCTTTTGCGTGGCCTTCCTCTTCCTTTATAGCCTGAGTGCTTGGTGTTGTAGGCTCTCGAGGCTGGCTGGTCGGGTGACACACGTAACAGATGGCCAAACCATTTTATTCAGTCTTTCTATGTAATGCAGGCAGGACTCAATGCTGATACAGTCCGTGCCGGCTTTAAGCACGCCGGCATAAAGCACTTTTCGGACACAAGCACGTTAAACGGCTCTTACCGAATTTTTGCTATATAAATTACACGCCTTTAAGCACGGTAACTTCGGCTTCAGGCACGCTTCATTTACAAGACAGTCAATACTTTCATGATGACCCATCGAAGTTCGAACACAGTCTACACCGCAGCATTGGAGTGTGTTAAGAGTAACACAAAGTGAAAGAACGCAAGTGATAGAGACACACACTCACACGGGCGGAGAGGAAGGCAGAGAGATGCACACAGTCGCGCACGTGGACATAGTATCTAGCCTAGGCGAAAGCTGCACACAGACAAAAAAAAGTACAAAGAGAGTCGTGGAGACGAGAAACGGAGGCTGGCCGCGATTTCACCGTTGACCCTCGCTATCCATTAATCGTGAGTGATTGTGTATCACGCGCCAGGTGGGATGAAGGCGGTGGTATGAATGTGGCACAACAGCCACTGTTACGCACAGGTAGTGTGTAGGCCTAGTGTGCTGTATCGTTACTGGCCGTGTAAATCAAGTTTTCATTTCCCATTCGACCACAAAACAAAAACAAACAAGCAAATAAAAACTACCATGGCAGGTTAAAATAACAAAGCACGCTTTTGCGGGACCACTATAGGCCTACTTACAAACAAAAGGAAATAGAACAGGAAATTTTCTACATGAAAATATCTGGATTATGTCTACTTCGCACTCAAGCACACTTCGGCTTTAAGCACGCTTAAGCTTTCTCCCGAAGACCGTGCTTAAAGCCGGCATGGACGGTAGCTGCTCTTACTTCTTCATTTCTCTGCCTGTCTCCTCTTGTGATGTTCAGGGTTTTGTGGAGACATTTCATTTCGCATGCAAAATACAGATCTTGTAAAGGTTTAAAATACCAGGAATCAATGCAAGTGGATCTGCACCTTCATTTAACAAAAAAATGATATTAATGATTTTTAACACGTCTGAAGTGCACAACAGTAACACAAGCAGTGATAAGAGAGCAATCACTGATCTGACTCAAACTGCACAAGTATAAGAAGAACGGAAGTAGAGAGTTAAGAATAAAAAAAGCATAAGAGTCCATGCTCTAATACTGATGAAAGATAATCACCTAGAAATAGATCAGTTGTGGACGGATAAATAACAATCTCTATACATACATATACAAACAAGCATACACATAACAGTATATATATACATTAAAGTATTCAGCAAAAATGGACGGATGGAAATAATCAAAGCTACAAAAAATGTTCATATATCAAATGTAATACTATTGCACTATCCTCCAGGAGAAAAATTTCCTCCAAACTGGCATTCAATTCACAACATCATAACATTTTGCATTAAAACACACACTACTTTTTTCACTAATATTCATGTCCCAGACTTGCATTCCATACATTTTGAGTGTGAAGCCATTCCAATCTGGCCATTACAAGAGTCAAAAGTCACTTTTCCTGTAATGCAGCCTACCATATCATAATATTGAGCAAAGAACTTGCATATAATAACAAAGTAGAATGTATTTGGAGTGTGACACTGCTGTATAGATTCTATTTCATAAATACTTGAGATTCTTTTTTCTAAACTGCAAAATCGTACACATAAGGGATTACTTGTTTGCAAGTGATCATTTAACCCTTTGAACCAGAACCCTTGCCACCGATATACCGGTGGCGCATAAAACTGTTCGTAGGCCTAGCAACCGGTACATCAATGAGCGAGACCCCATCCCCAACTCGGCCCACCTGAGACAAAACACGGATGGAAAACAGCGTTTACAAGACAAGACGTTATTGATTTTTAAAAAAGACCTTTCTGAATTAGATGGTGGTACTACGTACCCTGAGTGAGATTTGAAATGTGATTTTGACGATCATATGAATGTTAATAATATATCGCTCAGGAGCTCAGGCAGAGGGGCATGCTTGCCTCAGAAGGTCAGGGCTCAAAGGGTTAATAAAAAGTTTGCTGAAGTGGGCTGTGCATTTATTCTATATGTAGGGTCTACATGATCAGACTGGACTGATAAAAATCAAAGTGGCCAATGCACACATATCAAATGGAATCAGTGAAAAAAAGTTTTCCACGTGACCTCAGAAGAAGTTAAAAAAATTATGTTTTAGCTTGACTCTTTCCATTGTCCATTCGTTGTCTTCTCCATCGCCATCATATTACTGTGGCATCATGATATCAATTAACAGAAGTGCATTCAGTATCCTTCTCATGAAAGAAATACTATACACTTGCATCAATCTCCTCTCTGTCCAAATTTAATTATCCTGAGTTTTATGTTATTGTGGCCCATGTGCATAATCTATTCTGCAACCTAGTAGACCAAGTAACTTATATACAAATTGGTAAAAAAACCACCAAATGAACCCATCTGCTTTCTTTAAATTTGATCAGATGAAGTCAAACTAGAATTATTCAGCAAAATCTCACTAGAGAGGTCTGAGCCATAATCAAACTTCATCAAATTCGAATGCACGAGAACTGCATCTAAATATTTTACAAAAGGACTGCCAACAATGCCTCAATAACATAATCAATGGGGCTTTGAAGCTATGGAGTTTATCAAAACTGAAAATGGTCCTGACATTAGTTCTCAAAAGCATTTTCATGTTAAATCAAATCATGGTTTGCCACATCTGCTGACCATGTCAAACTCGTATATTCTGTCTACACCCCATGAGCAAACTACTGTTCAAAACATTACATTCCCTTTGAAAGATTTTTACACCCTCTAAACACTGGTAACAACAGTTAGAATTTTTGCACATATGGTACTTCAAGGTAATCAATATTATTTTTATATAAAAAAAAAAAAAGAAACATCACAACATGGTGAAATAAAAGGCAAAATAGTTTGCACTCTCTTCTGTAAACTGTGAGCTAAAAAAATAATTCTTCACATGTGATTTAAAAAACAACAACAAAGAAATAGTTATATACGATGTTTCCATATATCACAAATTGGAGCAAAAGGTAAGATGATGCTAAAAACTTTCTACATTTTAGACTGAATTATTTTGCTTTATATAAGAATTTTCACATACAGAACAGAAGATCTGTCAAATGTCACAATGGGGGAGTGGGGGTGAGTGGGGGTGTTGAATACATTCTTCTCCTTTGATGTAACACTAACATTAGAAATTACTGAAAGACCAAGTCATTTTAACAACTGTAAAGGATTACATATCTCAGACTATGAAGCACAATGGTGCAGGCTCCTGATTCTATCTGTTGTTTCTTTCTTGATAGAAGGAAGGAGGGGATACGATATCTTCACTGTTAAGCAGTATCTCAAATATACGTGCTTACTCATTTTCCCCCATGCAGCTCAATACTGAAAAGCTTGACATCATTATGTTTTATTCTAGTCCAAAACCTTCAGCATTAGAGATGGCAGTGATGAGTTTTTGCTTCAAAACCTTCTTGTTCTTGTATGGAGGAAGCACCAGCTGATTGAAGCAGGTGTGGGACATCGGCAGCCTGAGAAGAGGAAGAAACCAAACAAATTCTGATAATTTATTTCTAAAGCTACTTGGTTGAGAAATGATGGATCTTTAGTTTAGGAGTTGAAATTCAAGGCACAGTTTTCACTAATTCACAGTTTGCTGATCTCTTTGTAAATAGTTATATTATAGTTCTTCTCGTGGTTACTGGCATCGATTACTCAATTTACATTACTACTCTAATGTTTTTGGCTCCCCATTAAAAATCTGAAGGATTAGGACTCAAAGTCCTCCAGTTAGGATGAGAAACATAAGTTTTAAGGAACAGAGTCCCGTGCAGCGATGTAAAATTGGTGAGTTGTAAGATATGGCGTGCGATTCTGAAATAGTTCGGTATCTATATTTGACTATTTCAATACTATACTATTAAACGGTATTTTAAACAAATTTTCTCCTTTCCGATTCATGCCGATTTTCAGTACGTTATAGAGGAAAGTTTTCGGGTTCTAATGACACCTAAATCATCTTTGTTGCAATTTTTTAAAGCCCCATAGTGAAATGCACAGCTAAAGTTATTTGCCTACAGCTGTAAACCTTTATAAACCCTGTAGAACCCACCAGCATGGATTTTATGCTAGTATTTATTAAGGAAATTTCTAGAATTAAGCTAACAAGTGTTAACAAAAATAATGATCTGTTAATTAAGACAAATTGTTACAAGTCATTGTGCAAAAGCTGGAGATTCGTTAGTTTAGGAAATATTTGACAATAAGTTGCACCATGAATCTTTGACCGTACTGTAAAGAGTTTCTACTCCAAAGTAAACACAGTAAGACATTACCTAACACATGAACGCTATTACTCACAGTTTCAGATCATCAATGCGGGAGATTTTAAATGTCATTTCACTGATGCCACCAATAGGAATGCGGTCACTCCCTGTAGCAAACAGCAACAGCCTCTTTTGTGTTTCCAAGGGTAGATTGAGGACAACATCCCAGAAATATCTGCAACATCAGCATGAAATATTTTACAAATCAGCAATACAGATCTTAAAATAGTGATTTATTTGATTAATATTACAATCAGAAAGATAATGCATGCCTGCAATTTTCATATATTATGCACTATACAAAACACAGAGGAAAAATGTTTATTTTGAATGATAGAATATTAATGTTCCTGCAACTAAATGATGTGTAAAGGGAGCTAAATTACCACCCAAAAAAAGTTATATGAAAGAGTTCTTTGATTATGTTGGAACATTCAACACAATTGATTGATATCATAGAGGTGATATACTTTGCTTTGTGGCTTTATAGAGGCGATATGAACAGAATGGACATGGAGGGGAAATGCACATTTCTAATATGGTATGGGCATGAAAGGTGACTTAGGAAATACCTGTGAGAGTGACATTTTTAAAGGTAAAAACCCATTGAGAACAATGTCACAGCTGCCATTTTTGCAGTCTTCTCCCTTTTTTCATATTGACTGGTGTCTCTGGCTGGGACAGCAGACCACTCTAACAAGGTCTCTGAAGGGTGACAACTGATCAAAAAGAAACACACACCTAGTGGGGACCTAGCCAGCACTGCAACTGGCTTTTGCACTCTTGAACTGATTGCTGGCAAAGGTGGGTGAGGGCTTGTTCTCAGAGGGCAGCTTGCCCCCACTGCCCGCCCTTTCCTTAACCCCCCCCCCCTAAAAGATGCTGAACTTACTGTCTCTGGTGTAGCACATATTGTATCTACAAAAACCTTAAAGAAAATACAAAAGCACCGCTTACTACAAGGCGTCTACGCATAATAAAAATGACTGCTGACCTGATTGTAGGATTTTGGGCTGTGTAGCCGTCATAAACAGTGACTTTCTTTAGATCCTCCATCACCAGTGTAGGGCTTCCACACACAAGTGTCTCCACTTCCTCTGGTCGAAGCATCTACAACAGATCAAGTAAATTAAGCTGTCGACTGCCACAGAAGGTCTCAAGGAAAATATTAATCAAATGTGACATGATAACATGAACTATACAGTATCATCATTTCCAAGAAATTATTATTTTTGGTTTCATCAAGGGTTTGGAAATGGGGAAGGGGGAGCGGTTGATGCCATTAGTCCTGAGGCTAACACTATGCTTCATGTACCATAGTACCCCCTTTCACTACCACTTAAACTTTTGTTTTCTTTTCAGGTTTTTTACACTGAGGTAGGGGGAATAGGGACATAAGTGTATTGGACAATGAAGAAATACTCAGAGGTCCTGTGGGCACATTGTACAAGCCAAAGACACTTTGGATAATGAACATAAAAGAAGTTAGAGAGGTATATAAATAAATATGAGCAATATATCACATAGTTATATCGAAAGGGTGAGAAAATTCATTTCTAGTAAGTCAATAGATAATAAAAGTAAAAACATTTGCATCAGGGGTGAAAAAGGAAGAGGAGAAGAAGAAACTAATTTCTTTCTCTATCACTCTTCGTTTTTAGCCCAGTTAATCACGTCACAGTTTCCAGTTAACAAAGATGTCTGATCAAAGAGCTGAAGTCTACCAATATTATAAAGACAATTTTACTAAATTGAGTTCCACATAAGAATACATGCCATTTGTACACTAGCAGGTAACTTAAAAAGGTAAGTTTTAGAAAAGAGTTTGAAATCTCCCGCATCATTTTTCATATCTGTACAAAATGTGTATTTTTAGTTATGAGTTATGAACAAAACCATTGATTTCAACAGACGTTCAATGAACACATTGACCAGATACATATATCTCCATACGAGTGAAACACAATCTTTGTTAATGAAAATCTGCACTCCATCCTGTTTTCCACGGTAGATTAAAAAAACAATCAGCAAATCTAATACGCCTATGAAGCTTAAAAGGGAAAGAGATGAAGGGCACAATAAGTGCATGCATTAAGTCAATGATGATCCAAGATTCTTACAATGAGAGCATTTGAAGCGCAGACACTGTGGAAGCCATGGTAGAAAGCCTGAAACTGGGCATAGATGGAGTTGTTGAGAACCCATTCAATATACAGCTGCACATATTCTGAAATACAAGAAGAGAAATAAACAATAACTCTGAATGTTCTTTGTTATGATTTTAGAATTATTAACAATTGTACACCAACATGCTACAATTATATAAAATATATGCATATTTCAAAGTACCCGGTACCTACATTTAGTGGCAGGAAAGAATCTGATATGACGTTAATCAGAAGATGTTAAATGTTATCCTGTAGAAAAGAAAGGAATCTTCTATTCCCCCTTTATGTCTCTTTGGAAGCAGGATTTTCAAAAGAGAGATCTCAACCTCTTTGAGAAGAAAAGGACAAGTAGGTGAAACAAAGGAGATGGACAGCCTCCCAGCACAAGTTCAATAAGGACTGATGTAGAACACACTGTGCTGTAAGAATTAGAGGGCATTCTTGAGAGAGAGCTCACTCAGGACAATAACTTCTGACTTGTGTCCTTGTTTATCTGTTGGAATCATCACAGAACCCATCAGCAAGAGTATGGTACAATGTACCAAACATTGAACACTATAAATTAAAAAACAACAACCTGGTCTTTGACTTACCCTTCTTGTTTTCATTTGTAACTGGAATATTTTCACCGTTGGGTTTCAGAGGAGATGTTTTGGTGGTACCAACGTTTGACGTAACAACCTGGTGATCAGAGATGAGGAAAAACAAAATTTTATCTATGGTTTATGAAAATAGACACAATCAGGTATCGCAAAAAAGGAAAGTTTCAGAAAAGAGTAAAAAATCTCCTGTATTCTTTTCCATTTCTGTACAAAATGTGCATCTTTAGTCATAAGGTATGAATAAATTCATATTGATTTCAACAGATGTTCAAGGAACACATTGACCTGATAAATATATGGCCATATGAATGAACACAACCTTTGTTAATTAAAATGTTGGCTGCACTCCATTCCATGGTGGTCTATGATAAGAGATGAGGAAAAACAAGATTTTATTCATGGTCTATGAAAATGATGCACATGTATGTCTTTGTATTTAAAAAAAATTACTTTAAGGGTGCTCAGGAAGTCCTAAATCCAAAAGATCCCACCATATTTGATATAGATAGAACGTTAATTATCTCTACTCTCTCTCCAATTCAGAGGGACAAACACACACAAACACACACACATACACTGTTACATATCGCTAGCCGCATGATTCAACAGCCTAAGTGCCAAGAGACAAATTTTGTACATTTCCATGCAATTTCATTTCTAAAAGTTCATGAAGATAAAATGAACTCATTAAAAAATGTTTTACTGTACTTATATAGATTCTTTACCTAGATTATACATTTTTTAGGTATTGGGATATTTACACGAAGTATTAACCTTAGAATGCAGAGTTATCAAACATAGTCAACAAATAGAAAAAAATAGTAATAAGGCCATTCATATTTATAGAAGGAGTGCCAGATTATCTTTCTATTTTGACAAAGTACAAAAATTGCCTTTGAAACATTCTACCGGGACATTGAAGTATAAATAAAATAAATAATGACGTCCTGTGTCACAATTTATCATGTCAACATAAAATTACTAAAATGTAAGGTTCATTTCATAAAAACTAGCTCTCAGTTTTTAATTCATATATGTCTTTTAAGTAAAAATTATCCTGCACAGCATCTATTGTCAAGGAGAAAAGCGATTGTCTCAGACAGGCAGATGTCTCTCGCAGTGTCATTATAAATTTTTTAAAGCCAGGAGAGTAGTAAGAAGTCTATAGTACAGGTGAATGCATTGGACTAGTGGCAGTTAGCGCATGTTTGACTTTATATATCGCCATGGCAGAAAAGCAAGTACCTATAAAAACAGTTTCAGTATCAGTGAATAATCTTTTATATGTGTAACATCGTGGTGAAATCATGCGCTTGTCAAAATAATGAAAAAAAAGGGGCATTTTTTTTTACCCTTGGGCAATTCTCAAACAATTTTGTTTTCTTTGGCTCAAGACCTTTGATGTCAATTTAAAAATACATTCCTGTGTGGAAACTACTGAAAAATGATCAAATGCACACAAACAAATTTGCAAAATGCAGTTTTCAAGGACACTCAAGCTTTGGAAGTCACCAAGCTTTGGCAGCCATTTTCTCACTTATTTTGCCTTCTCTGACAAAAGGGAAACCAACCGCATTCAATTGCAGATATCTTGACTTCTATTCAAGAGCTTTAAGATGATAACAACAAATTCATATTCCCAAAAATATGATGAGCGCCTGATTCCACTGCGTAAAGATATATTTTTTGTACTCAAAGGTGGACTCTACAATTCTTTGTCATTAATGTTGCAATAATTTGATGGATAAAGAGCTGGGGATGTGTACTTACTTCAAAGTTGAGACAAAACACATCTTCAACATCGCCATCGTAGTCGAGGAGTTCCTGCAAGCCTTTGGCTACACCCTAAAACAAGTAACAAATAAATAAAAAGTCCTTTGCAAGATCTTTCTAAGAGCACATTAACACAAACCAAATAATAGCAAGAACAAAGAAGATAAAAAAACTATGCTATGAATGCTCCACCTGAAATGATGGTCCTCTCAGAGCACAAACAAATTAGTATTTTAGTCCACTAGCACATCCTGTTTGTACAATCTTTTAAAAAGATATTGACAAGTCATTGTGGCCTAGTGTAAGTTTCATTGTTTAAGAAAAGATAAAAAGTACTGATCCAAGGTGAAGCCTCAAGCCCACTGGTAAGAGTGAACAAGAGGGAAGCAACAAGAAACAAAGTAATTGTAAGAAAGCAAGACAAGGTCAATACACTAGGTCAAGACACTAAAGTAAAAATCACATAATATGTACATCTGAGCATGGGCACTTATGTGAGCTGTGCTACCATCAGGAGGGTTGTTACATCTTTAGCATATGTCAGCTGGTCGGTTTATCACTCAACCCTTCCCCACCCTATGGGGTTAGGAAATGAAGAACTCTTAGTTCCCCAGAAAAAAAAGACAGTGGTCTTACCGGTTGTATGGCTTTCAAGTCATGCATTGTGACAGGAGAGATACCCACAGTTGCTCGTGGGTTGTTGAAGGGTACCACTGCAGGCGACAAAAGCTTGCGGTAACACACAGGAGGGAATCTGATGTCCAAGTTGATAGAATTGTACACAGCCAAACCCATGAGCTTACATGTGGGTCAAGGACTCTTAACAGGTGTTTGATTCATTAAATAAAAAAGACAAGGAAATGCAAGACAAGAAACATAGTATTCAAGGAATCTAAAAAGGCATAAAGAATTTTGTTGAAATAGCCATCCGCTCATGCTATGACTATTATTTATTCACAGTATCAGAATAAAATATGGCGTTCTGGTATCACAGACTCAAAAGCAATCTTCATTACCCTTGTGTACTTATGTATACATATATGTGTGAATTGCAGAGGTAAGCTGACATTCCATATGCCCGAAAAACCGATGCGAACTTCGGGTGCGAATTTCGCTTGCGAATTATTCTTTTCGCACCAACGTTTTTGTCATTGGGTGAATCCATATACCGGGATTTCGCATGGCCGAGTCCGAAATTCGCATGCGAAGATTTTGTTTCGCACGAGGGAGCGAAACTTTTTTCTTCGCATGCGAATTCTTCGTGAAGTGGGCGGGGCTTATTTCCCGACAAATCTACTTCAAAGGAACGAAGCAGCATAGAACATGATAGAAGCACTAGATAAGTGGGGAAAACGTCGAAATGTTGATTTCCTTGGTTCGAGAGAGAAGTGTTAAAACCAAGACTGAAAAGAAGTGTTTATTTTCAAGGTGGCTGTCATTTGCATGGCAACCACTTTTTTTTTTAGTTTGTGGGAAACTTTCGGGAGTCTATGTAATCTATCTATGCTATCATTTATCGTTTAAATCATGTAATAACTAAAAATAACTTTTCACTTACACCCATCCCCCTCCTTAATTAAATGCACTTGAATATGATTTCAGTCAGATGACGGATGCGAATTTCGCGTATATGGAAGGAGGGCTCTTTTTTCATCGCACCCGAATTTCGTACACGAAATTCGCATCGTTTTTTCGGGCATATGGAATGCCAGCTGTATGCACATAATAGACTAAAATGTTGTATGTCTCCTGGAGGAATGAAATGGGGTAATGAAATGATAAGGCAAGCCAAGAGAGATTTTGTTAAGTCCTGTTAGCCAAAACATGGAGATAAAACTATGAAAAACCACTTTTAATTTGGAACTTTTAGAGTAATGATACTGAAAGGTGCTTTTTACATCAATTAGGTTCTAACAGCAACATTGGGTTGAAATTCATAGTTTGATTTCTTACCTTTGTGATTAAAGCATAAGAAAAGTAGCAAACGGCAAGGATACCACTCCAACAAGATTGAACTCCTGATAATTGTCACAAGGGTTTGGACTAAACCAGTGAACACCTGCATGTTTGTCATATGTGAACATACCTGTTGAAATGACGCAAAATGTTGAATTTTAATTCCCTGAACAAATGTATGGGGATTTCATAGTTGAGCAAGTTTCAAGATAGCAAAAAAAAATAAAGCAAATTTTCAAAAGTTTGTCAATATACTGTACAGAAAACGTGCTTGAATTAAAAGAAACCAAAATTTTTGCGACCATTAAGTAAGCACAGATTTGAAAAATTTCATTTATAGTAAAGTACACACACATGGCACGCAGTTATTCTATTTGAAAAATGACAAAAAGCAGTTACATCAAAGTTTATAATAATGTATAAATAAAAAATACTTTTTCCGATCCTAGTAGAAATGTTCTCCAATAGTACATTTAAAAATTCAAACATCAAAACTTAACAAAATAGCACTATAAATTCTTTAAAAATCACTCTTACCGTAGTCTGTCAAAAAGATCTGTCGGACCAGAAGTAAGAACCATTCTTTGGTGAGGCCTCCCATGTCAAGTCCTGGTTCCCCTGTGAAGGAAACTTTGAGCTTCTTCTTCAAGTCATGTTGCTTCTGGGCAATCTGTGGATTGTATTGAAGGCTAGTCATTAAAACATAATGGGATGTCAGAACACCAAATATAGAGCAAAACAGTTCAAAATATGGCAGTAGAAAATTTGGAAGATTGAGTTCATGAGTCTGAGAAAAATGGTGGAATCCAAAACAGATGCACATTGCTGCTGTACAAAAAGTTTCATTGAGATAAGTCAAGAGAAGCAAGTTTCATGAAAGATTGTGCAAATGACAGAGAAAACATTTAAGAGGAAAAGTCACCATATGTACACAAACATACACAGACACAAATACACACACATTCACATATACACTGTTACATATCACTAGCCGTGTGATTCAACCGCTTAAGTGCCAAGAGACAAATTTTTCAGGAGAAAATGAAAACTTTTTTATTTCTTTATGCTGGTACCTACGAATCTGAAATTCAAATATATGATGTGATATGATGTAGGACGATGGTCTGCAACTAAATAAAAAAACCCAAAACCTTTCTAACATAAGTTACTGGACATAGGCGGTTTAGACCTACCAAAATCTGCGTGATTCAGCTGATGACATCCAGGCGTTTGAATCATGTTAATCAACGTCACTAGACGAGCGCCAATGGTTGCTTGAGCTTTTGAGTAAGCAGCAAACGCATATCCTAATAGTTTTAAGAGTAATTATAAAGTTAAGAGTAATTATTTCAGTTATTTGGTTGGGTCTTCTGGGGCAGGACTGTCTTTGGCCTCATGGAGTTGGTAAAAAAGGCCATTCATCTTAACGTTCAATTTGTACTGGAAGTTTTTGTCCAGTGTGTAGCAAAGGCAACAAACGTTTGTGACAACAGGGTCATCTTTGTTTCAGCCAGATCACGAACATCAAAGGGGGGGGGGGGATTGTTTTGCTTTCCTAAAAACGTTCAAGATAATCCATGAGCAAATAGACAAGGCTATTTTTCAGGGACCTTTCGATTACTTTGAGTGTGCTGTCCCCACTTCCATTTGTTCTTTTTCAAGGTATTTGTGTTCAACAGATTTGTTTTATCTGACACAAATCTCGTTGGTTGCATTTGACAAGATAGCAATGTGGCCTGATAAGTACAGCCATCACTGTATATAATGAACTTGGCACTGTCAGTGGGCTCCTCCAGGAGGCTACTGACACAAGAAGAGAATTCATTGGCAATTAATGGTCCTTCTCCTTCGTGCCACTTCACACATCTTTGGATCCCAAATTAAAAAAAAAAAAAGACAGCTTATTTGGGCCAGTTATGATATAGTGCAGCAGATGCGTTATAGCCATACTAACAAATAAGCTTCCAAGTCCATGCACACTCAATATAAGCTGGTCCCATCCCCTTGGTTTTATGCAAGCTTCTTGCTAGATTCTTTCTCCTACCCTACATACTTCACTTTGGTCCTTCCGACATACAACAACAGGTTGCTCTTTTTGAATATCTCTCTAAAGTCGTCTGGGACAATGTGTGACTCTTTCCATTTTCTTTGGTACCCTCTATAAAGGCCTCTGAGGCTTTGAAAGTTTTTGTCAATATAGATTTTGTCTGTATTCTGTCTGTAGTAATAGGAAAGCAATTTTGTTAAGTTTGTCGAAAAATTACTTATCACAAAACTGCTTGTCCTCTTCTGCGCACTGGTAATTTGACAATTGTGGAGCTCCCATCTCCAAGTCATGTTAACTGTCTTTGCAACAGTCATGAATAACAACTGTGTTAGGGCAGTTGTATTCAAACTTATTGTTTTGCATAAATAGGTAGAATGTATGAGCTGTGTTTCAAATTGAAGTGTAGAGCTGAGAGTTGAAGTTGAAGGTTTGTTGAGGAGAGAATTTTTGGTGCGAATATGTTTATGAGTTGCTTTTTTTCGAGTGACAAATTAAGTATCATCTACCTGGCACTGATTGAACTAATCAATGATTCAAGAATGGTACATGACAGGCACAGCATGCTAGCAAGGGGTGCACACTTAAAGCAAATTAAGAAACACAAAAAGGCGCGATAAAAATATTTTCCAATAGTTGTACCGATTGTGAAATAAGCGCCCCTTAGCTGTCAATCATAGACTTTTAAAAAATCATTCGTCAGTAGCTTTTGCCACAATTTACCGATTTGATCGAATCAGTATTAACATATTCTTTGATGCCATTTGCCTTTTCTCAACTGCACTACCAAATCCAGCTATAGATTACACAAACTGCCTTGACAAAATCTTCTGGCTATCGATAGGGCTCGATTTGAGTCATATTTTAACATAAGGTGTATCAAAGACTGTACTACATACAGGGATAAAAAAAGTGATCTTCGAAAATTTTGTCACTTAGGCTGTTGAATCACACAGCTAGCGATATATATATATAAGGAAAAGGGAAACTGGCAGACAGGCTTCAAAATTTAAAATGCTTGATGGAAAAAGGAAAAACTCTTTATAATGAAAGGTCAATTTTAAAAATAAACACAAGCAAATATACAAATAAACACACACACACACACACACACACACACACACACACACACACACATCTGAAAATGATAGCATAGTACGAATGGCAGCCTTTAGAAAGGTGATGTAAATCAAGCAACATACATAAATCGAGATGAAATTCAAATCCAAAAACAGAAAGACGGGAATGTATGCATTATCTAGACAGATGAACAAAACTGTCCCCAGAAACTATAATAATTGAAATAAAAGAGTAAGTGATCAAAGGACAATGTAAGGAATGAAATAACCATTCAACAAAAAATTAAACCATTATCTCGAATGATATATGACTTCATAAATAGAACTGGCATTAAATAGGAAAACGACTGATACACAATGAAAATGAAAATAAGAAGTCAAATCAGCAGCCAGGAATCATGTGGCGTCGGTGGCCTAGTGGTTAGGCTCTCGGACTTGCAACCGTAAGGTTGTGGGTTCGAATCCCGTCAAGGGCCCGACGTTGTGTCCTTGGGAAAAGCACTTTGCACAAATTTTCCTCACTTCACTCAGGTGGAAATGGGTACCCGGCTATAGACAGTGAACGATCTTGTCAGTTTGATAGTGTTTGAGGTGTGAAATCCGCAGCTTGCACTGTATGCTTCCGCAGAAGCTGAGAATGTTTCAGAGTGTTCTCAGAGGGTCTGCTGGGGTAATAATGGTTGTAAAGCGCATAGAGCATGCTCTTGAGCATGGATATGCGCTATATAAATGCAATTATTATTATGTGCTGAGACCTCTAAGAATAAAAGATTATTATCCGGCCAAAATAAAACGAATAAAAAACTGAAAAAATAAGAAATGGATAGAGGAGAGATAGTGGTGGTGGTGGTGGATGCTGGACTGCTTCGACAGCGCAGACCAAAGTATAGTTCTGTATTGACCAACATTTAATGTCCTGTGACAACTAGGAATGACGCTACTTCAGCAAATGTGAGCCAAAAAATGTGGCTTGCAGTGAGTGAAAGGATAGTACAAGGACAAAGCCCATGATCTGAATTGTCATTTTCATAACACAAGGGTCTGGTCTCTGACAAAGAGGCCATGTGTTGCTCATGCAGCGCAGCATCCAATACATCTCCATATATTGATTAAAAAGGAAAAAGAAAATGTAGAAGACCCATAAATTAACATATGACCTTCTGATCAGAAAACAAAGCAAGATGGAATTAATATTCTGCAAACAAAGAGGTAATTGACTGAGCTCCGCAGAGACCCCCCCCCCCCCCCCCTTTTTTCGTACACAATTTAACCAGTGAGGCTCCTGGGTTCATAAACTTAAAATAAAAATTTTGCTATGAAAACTTTCAGTAATAAGGTTCTGTTGACATTGCTGTTGGGGATTTCAGTTTTGTATTGATTTTCTATACAGTTCGTTCTTTGTTTCAGGCAGTACAGGTTTGCAACTTGATCCTATTGATCCATATCAAAATGTAATTGACCCCAATATACAATCTTTCTGTTGTTCATATCACAAGACCATATATTAGCTGAATATGTGCAAAACATTTAGGGATGGTTTGTTTTGAAGTTCAAAATATAGCACAGGGACACACATTTTTTTAGATCACAATGTGTCACTTCAGTAATAGCTAAAACTTATGGTAAAAGGATAGTTATAAAATTCCATACCACAGATACAGGAAGCAGGCAAAATAACATTTTAGTTTTAGAATAGTATTCAAAACAGGAAAATATAACTGCACAAGACTGAATAAAGCCTTTGAAGGTCAGTTACATTCTAAGGAGAGTCTGCTCTCTTTAAATAAAAAAAAAATTGCTTATCTTGTTTTGGCATAAATCATGAGTACTTAACACAAACACATTTCAGAATCTTGTTTTTATCTAAGTCAAATGGTTGACTGCATACTTCAGGCAAACTTTTTTTCAAAATCTATAAAAATAAAACCAATAGTAGTCAATGCCTTATAACCTGTTTACACTTTTCTATTATAACATCAAATAAAGATATCTCGTTCACATTTTATATGGGTAAACTTAATAGATTACCACTCTGAAAATGTTTGAGTCAAACAAGTAATTGTTCTTACTTCATTCAGTGAATCAGAGACCAGGTGTGATCGTCGTACAGTGAGATTCAGAAAGAGCATTCCAATATCTGGTAACTGGCGACGCTGCACTTTGGCCACTAAGCTTTTCTGTTGACAAAAAAGAACAGCATAAAACAAAACCAAAAGAAATTATTTCAATACGCCATATAAGGGAAGCACTGATTAACTTTTTACCTCTCTTTCCTTTCTGAACCAATAAACAGCAGCATTGCTAACAATTTCAAAAGTCCATGTAGGCCCTACTGATATTGCTTTTGTCAAGTCTTCTCATATCTAAATGAGTTGCTTACAGAAAACCCCTATTTCTCACATTTTCTGTTTCAATCTAATATCATAGTACGAAGCATTTTTAGCGGTAAAAAAGTATCGGAGTGGTCGAATAGAAAGAACGCATAATGAAAACTATACAAAAAAATGAAGAAAACTGAGACGGAAAAGAAGTACTTACCCTGGCCATAATTATCATTTGCTGCTCTGAATCTTTCTGAAGGACAGTTCTTTTCGCAGCTATGCTCAATATAAATGGGTATTGACAGAAAGAAAATCTGAAAATAATAAAAAGAACGGTTTTAGCTGAAGTGTAGGGAGATAAGAATTCCCACAGTAAACAGATTTAAGTCAATGATTATACAATTAGTAATTGCTGGTTACAATAAGTTGCATTCTTCAAAATTGTAAAAATCATATGAATTGACAAAGAAGAATGGTTTGGAGGTTGGCTGCCTTGAATATATCCAAGCAGAAAAATTAAAATCTTCCCCACATGGGAATGAACTCACATCCTGAGAGAACAAAACAAGGAGTGTAAGTATCAAACTGCATAAGCTGGTGCTGACTTCTGCCTCACACTCCAGTCATAACTGGCCATTTGAACGTAGAGTTTTACATTTAAAGATCATACAGTTTAGTGCTTTTTGACACTGATGGGGAACAAAAGACTAGCCATCAATCAAAGCCAGAACTGAAGCTCTCAGAGATTAACAGTTTTCCAGAATATTGCTTGTGTAATAACTTTTAGTTTTTAGTAAGTGTGCACTTGTAACACAATAGGGTTGTATAAGAGCCGAAGATGAAAGGTGTTACTAGAGAGAGAGTAACAAACACAGAAAAGAAGAAGGAGAGATAAGGACAATAGATGTTTGATAGGAAAGAGGGAGCGAACCACACCAGAGCACTCACCAACCACTCATTTAACCACTTTGTCAAGAACAAGAGTACTGGCTGTAAGAAAGAGAAAGTAAATTTTGGACACAGATCACTTACCCTGCATGTGAACTGGGATTCTGCCACGCATAGTACTCAGCCATCAAGTCCAGATGGTCCAAAGTGCTGTTGTAGAACTCTGTGTATGTCACTATAGGTGGGAGCATCAAGTTGTTTGCTGCATCTACATACGGGCACAAGAGGAGGGGGTGGATGAGTGTAAAAAGTGAAGAAGACCAAATGTCAAAAGACAATAAACACATAAAACCGCAGTTGTTTTACTTGTTGTATTTATGTTGTGAACTGTTCAGGTTATCAAGACCTCAAGTGGGTGATTAATATTGGAATCTGAAAGGAAAGTTGAGAGATCCAATAAAGTAATTAAAACAGTAGAAAAATGTTCTTATTTAATTCACAATAACTGAAAATTTGTTCTGACATAAACTTGATCCAGTAGAAGAACAGTTCAAAGGTTGATAACCTAAGGCTCAGAAAAAATTTAAACTAGACCTCTGTTCAACAGCTCAACTTCTCTTGTTATGCTTTTGCGAAATGTAAGCAGATTGATTTGTACTCGCTGCAGTGTCAACATGTGCACCAACTGAATATACAATTGGACGCAACTTACTAAACAAAGCCAAAACTTTCGTTGCACTAGGAATCCACCAAGAACATTTTGACAAGGGGGGTAAATCTTCAGGCTTTGAAGGAAACAAGCGAACAGATATGAAGTTGTGTATTCGTTCCACCACAGGCCGGAATCGATCTTGCTTCAATCTGAAAAGAAAGTACACTATGTTTGTGATCACTAGAATTATCAAATCAAAGAAACGCAAAAGACTTATAAAAAAATGAATAATAAAAAATCATATACGACAGAACTATCAGTATCAGTTTTATTACCTTATCTACAAGAAAATGAGATGAGCTGTTCATGTCTCTTTGTCTCTACTAATTTTCCAAATTCCCAACACTATAGCAGAACTAATGTGAAACTTTCCGCTGTAGACTCATGCTAACTGCACATTACAAGAAGAAGCTGTAGAAAGGCTGCAGGAAGAGTCAGGAGCCCAGAGGAGGGAGCAAAAGAGGTGAGGGGTGGGGGCTGAAAGTGGAGATGAAAGCGGACGACAGAACGTTGTAAGAGAGCAGGACACTTAGTACATATAATAATACAAATAATAATAATAATAATAATAATAGATAGAATTTGTAGAGCACAAATTATTCCTGCTCAATAGCAAGCTCCTTGCGCTTTAGAATTACTCCAGCAGACCTGATAGCATTCTGAAACCATCTCAACTTCTTGGGGAGCAAACAGTGCAAGCTGCCATTTTATAGGGACTAGAATACTAACATACTGAAAAGATCTTTCACTTTCTTTGGCTGAGTACCCGTTCACACCTTGAAGAAGTGAGTAAAATTAGCGTAAGGTGTCTTTCCCAAAGACACAATGTTGGGCCTCAGCCTCTATTTTTCGAACCTGTAACCTCACGATTACGAGTCAGGTAAATGTAACATTCTCCAGTCCATCTCCCTTCTAGCAATCTATATATATATCTGTGACTTACCGTTTCAGCCAGTGTACAAGGTAATGGTGATCATGATCAGACAAAGCAGCTATCTGTCGCAGGAGATGAGCAAATATCACATATGCTGTCTGATTTGAGAACTGAGGATTCTGAAAGAGTTAGAAGAAAATGCCTTGAGATTTTTGTCAAAACAAAATGAAGACATTTTCAAAAAGGGTCTAACGAAAGTGAAAATACAAGGAACACCTCAAACTCAGCAGACTCATTATTGATTGATAACTATAAGATTTTGGTTTGAGAACCCACATTAAAATAAACTAATCATTTCCCTCTTTAATCCTCAGTGACACATCTGCCGTAAAATAACAAAACAGCGTCCGAAATTTGATTTCGAATTTCTTAAAAAACTGGTCATGGTTTCACTGTGATTTTTCCACACAAGTAGGGTAATGGATGCAATTTTTGATTCAGCAAATAAACACATTTTGGCGCCAAAATGTAAAAAAGGGGTTTTGTCAGCTTACGGTAGACATCTCTGGGGGCTGAATCTTGTAACTCCTAACCAGTGGCATGGCACCATCTTCCACTTACATATGAATATCATTCAGGAATAGCGAATTTATTTTTTATAGCTTGAAAGATGGGACATTACTATAATGATAATAAACTTTGTCACAGGCAGTCAAACAGTCAAAGTGTAATATCCCATGAGCTATCTTCCCACAACATTTAATTTCTTTTTTCCCGATCGGAAACCAAATTTGTACAACATATCACTAGACACATCTCATATGATTAATAATTGATGATGATGATGATAACGATAATAATGGTGATTATCATAATAATAAAAATAATCATCATCATCATGATATATAACAAGAGCAATAAAATAACAACAATGACAATAATAAAAAATAATGGTGATGATGATGATGATGATGATGATGATGATGATGATGATGATGATGATGACAACATTAATACCAGTAATGACAACAATATAATAAGAACTGGATGAAAGTCTTAGTTTTAGAATGAATTTGTGAGAAGTTACAATATGACAGTCAGAAAACAGCTTTCCTGATCATGATCCTGTTCAAAGCTATCTCAGCTGAAAGTAAAAACTCTATCATTGTTCACAAATCTAAAGCAATTAAAACAAAGGAAGCAACTGCGCATTGACATAACACTCAAACTGGACATGCAGAGCAAACATAAATCCAAGGCATATTCTGGGAAAAATATAGCAAGGAATGAAACTTGAAGTTCAACACTATCAAGAGACGATCAAACACTCAATTCCAAATGACTGAAGAGCACAACATTAATAACTAAGACGTTTTTGTGAAAATACCTGGACAAGAATCAGGAAAGCGCGGAGGTCATCTTTACTGTGAGGCCTGAGAGAAGAAACAAAAGAATTATACGATTAATTTTGTTATTGTTTACAGTCACTTGAAATAAATGAGACAGAAAAACCTTTTATTCATACCTTTTAAGCAATATCTTTGGGTTCTTGTAAAAGTAAAATAACTGCTGCCCCCCTCCCC